GTATTTTTTTGTGAAAAATAACCCACGAATTTTGCCCCCAAATTATTGTTGTAAAGGGGGAGTTTTGGTTTGAGTGCGCGCGCACGCTCCGTGAAGACCACAAAAATATTCAGCCATGAAACAAGATTGCCATGCGTCAATTTTTACTCACGCTGCGTGGGTACCGGAGGGCCCAGTATGTATTTGGACTAATTTTCAGTTACAGCTTTCTCGAATTTGTTAACGAGGCGTGCATAATTAGTTTGAAAATAGGATAGAGGTGGGATGGGACCCCAATTTTGGAGAATTCGCCGAGGACTTTTCTTGGACATCTTTGGGGGCTTGTTGGAAATGGGACTGTCTTCGGGGAGAGCAACCACTCTGCAACTTCCATTCCCTGCATTGCCAGAAGAGTCCATTGCTACAATTTCAATGTCATAAATTCGTGCACGCAACTCCTGTTCTTGTACTACACAGATACTTCCGACCTTACCACCACGTTCCTTGTCACCGCATCTGCATAGAGGGGATGTTGGCCGTTCCATTGGATGGAAGGTGAGGGACGAACAAGTGGGAACCAAGTTTGACAGGTTATTTGTTATGAACAATCAACAACTTACGTGAAGGGTGCAAGCAAGACAATGGCACCCATGAACACACTTTCACTTTTGCGTGTTGGGATGACTTTCTGCATGGGTCTCCCGTAATCTTCATGGTCAGTGCTCCATATGGAGATGCCGACATCAACAATTGAATCAGGATTGGGTGTCTAAGAGAGAGCGAGACGCAAAGTTTAAGGGGAAGGATGAGTAAAAAATCCAAGCGTGACTCGGGGTCCGCACTCTCCTACACCGAAAAACACCAAAACACCGAACGAGACTTGCCTCGACGTGGTACCAGAACTCAACATCCACAAACGAGGTCTTCTCCTTTGCGTAATCAATGATCAGGGGATTACGGCGATCGCCGAGCGGTTCCGTGGAGACATCAGTGAATGCGTCGTGTTGTGGTTTGTGAAATCCACAGGTCACTATTGGTGAATCGTCACCATCATCTGCTGTCGCAGCAGCAGCATCGATGACGAAGGAGGCGATCCAAAGGAATCGAAAGCATCGTTGGACCCAAGAAGATCCGAAGCTCATAATCAGTCTTCTTAACGATTGATGCAAAATGATCCAATTGACTGCAGAGTTATCGTCCGAGTATGCCACGCAATCGATTGAGTTGTGGAATCATAGAGTTTTTTTTTCCTCTACACGACAAATCGATTGTTTGAGAGATATTGACGTCGTGATTCTCTTCGTATTTTTTTGCACTTCGTTTTGTGCAATTTTGAACTTCGGTGGGTTCTGGATCTTGATGTTTTTTATTGTTATCCTCAAAGTTGTACGGTATTCTGATATTTTAGCGTACGTACCGTACGTACGTACCTGTACAAACGGCATGGCATGTCCGGAGTCCGGATCGCTGTACGAATGAGCGCGAACCTACTCGTACCGTACCGTACGATACATACATAAAGTACAGTGGAAAGCATCATCCCGCCACGCCGTTGACGTTGCTATGGTACAGTATTACTATTATTTTTTTATCATGCTGTTACGTACTGTACACAGGGCACATTACACTACAACAGTCACAAACCCCAAAAAAGGTCATTGTGGATTGTCCCGGGAGTACTTCCTCCGTCCGGGAATGACCGTCCCGTGACTCCTTTTTGGCCGTCCGGATATGATAGTCCCCTAACTAAGTACCCAGTAGGATACTGCCCCATCACTACCAGAAACATATTTTCACTGTTAAATTGATTGCAACTAAATAATATTACTACTGGTTCTTAACTACGCTTGAGCCTGTGCAAGTAGTGCACGTCCCGCATTGATGCGATCAGGATCACAAATGATCGAAATCGGAAGGGTGCCTTCTCTCATTAGGCTTGCTTTGCCCATATGCGGAAGCTTGTAGTTGTTATCACCGTCTACACCAAGAGACGCTTCCATACAAGCCTGGAGGGACAAAAAYACATTATTCAATGTTTCACGTGAGCACTCATCAAACGCATCCTTCACATTCGCAATCAAATGATCAATATCCTTCGAGCGCTTCTTATACTGTAAGCTTTGAATTGAATTGAAGAATCCAAGGTCAAGTACATTCATGTCCKGACTGTTTGGTGGTTGAGTCTTCACAGTAATGTTCCAACCTTTGCTAGCTGCAGCTGCTTTCACCTCGTCCCTGATAGTAGCCTTATGAGGCTTAGCGTTATCCTCCTGAATGAAAATCTCCGGAGTACTTGATCCCCTCGGCCACTTCTCGTAGATCGCAGGCAGTACCTTCTCAAGCAACATCCGTTTGTACACCTCTCGATTAACGTTCTGTGGCTTGGTAACCAAGGTTCCTATGGGGCGATTCACAGACGATCTTTTGGCTGGTTCTTTTACGACAAAGGGCCAAATACCAATCTTACCATCGAACCAAACACGGTTGTTCGTATCCCAACGTGGACGGGCTGTTGCACACAAAAACATCACCTTCGTCATATGGTTCTTCGACTTTGACGTAGACTTGGGCTCAGCTTCATCTGGTAGCAGATAAGTGGTCTGCTTTGTCCGCTTTAGATAAAACCATTTCTCTTCAATGTGGATCCACTTGAACCAGTCGTCAAACTTACCATTCTGATCAATATGTTTCATGATCCATTCGACTCTTTTAAGTTTATTCGCAGCTGTCAGCAAGGGCTTTGTGCTTCCGTTGTGCTTCTTAATATTCCCACGTCTCACAAGGACGTGTAAAGTTGACTTAGGAATCCCAGTTGCAGACGCTAGAGTGCGTAGATCACCTCGGTCTTTGTGCGCAACAGTGCGGAGTGCATCCAGATCTGATAGGGGTGTTGGCTTGCGACCACTCAAGTGTCTTCTACTGGAGACATTCCCAGCAGGACAACTGATTGGATCATAAGTCTCCTTGTACCGTTTCCAAACCCTTGAGATAGTTTTGGTTGACATGTTGAACTGCAGTGCAGCATCCTTAACAGCTCCCCTCTTGAGAAGCTTGCCTTCACCACTACTCCTTAGATTTTGTAGGAGGAACTGGAGAACTGCACTTCTTTCGTTGTCCGTTAAAAGCCTGAGCTTTCGTGGGCTCGTATCGCTATCACTGCTTCCGCTTCCGCTTGCCGTATCGCTTGCCGTATCGCTTGCTCCTCCAGTATCGCTTGCAGTAGTATCAACCATCTTGTTGCTGTTTCTTTATTTGCTTTAGAAAGAACCAAGGGGGGGAAAAGTGAGTTAACAAAACAAACACGACCGTTGGTTGATTGTTGAATCGTCGCTCCGGGGAAGCGACGGAGGTGCGAGGGCAACGGAGGTGCGAGGCTGAAAGCAATGGCAACGGAGGCGCGATTCCCTCTTAGTACTAGTGGAAGCAATGCTGGAGACGCAAGTCGGTCTTCCCCCCTCTTAGTGGAGGCGCGTTGGCTCAACGGAGACGCGGACCGGTCGATGGATCCCCTATTAGTGGGAGCAACGGAGACGCGGACCGGTCGATGGAGCCAACGGAGACGCGTTTCCCCCCCCCCTGGAGGCGCGTTGGCTCAATGATTTCCCCCCGGCTCAATGATTTCCCCCCCCCTGGAGGCGCATTGGCTCAATGAGTCACTTGAGGTGCAAAGAAGGAGAAGCCGGTCTGAGTCAGGCCCAGTTGAGTGACAGAAAGGAGTCGAAAAGAGGAAATTGGGAGGTGTGAGTGAATCAAGAGTGAAAATTATCATGTGAAAATAACACGGGGAGCATTTTTAACCATGCGCGAAGCACTTTTTTTTCTCTTCGATTCCTCTCTCCAGCGCAAAATTCAAAAAACCACATGAAAACTGCATGCGCCCGAACAAGTGCCCGAGCAATATTTGGGTTCTCTTTTGACCAACAATGACTGCATAAGAACCTTCTCAATAAGTACGATAAGCATATGATAAGAAAGCTCTCACTCTCAGCTTTCTATAGCCACCAGTCCCGTAGTTAAATGACCRGTAGAACCCTTTCAACCGGTAGAATGAAAATCATATGCCAAAATTTGGTCTYTTTAAACAACTATCACAAGTACGTCAGACACTTTGACTATATTGAATCTTCATGACTGTATACTTTTATAATGGATCTATTAAGTGCAAAAAGAAGGAATTGAAACGCCCAAGTATTGAGCTTATTTCAGTAGCAAGTCTGTTAGGGGACAATCATTTCTGGACGGAGGAAGTATGAAGGATGGATCCAGTACAAGAAGTACCTACGTACGGTACTCGTTCCTACAGTATACAGTACTGTACTGTATCTCAGGATTTTACGAACGGTCACTGTGCAAGGGTACGGGTACTTGGTACTACTTCTGGTAGTTCGTACTCGTAAGAGTAGGAAGCGACGCAAAGCCTATCGATGGCCAGATTCGTTGTGGAGAACTGAGCTACCGTACCGTACTGCTACTTCTACCGCTACTGCTGATGCTGCTACTCTTCTGTTGCAGAATCCCTAGCCACACCGTTTGGATCTACCACAAACAAAAACGAAAACGCATCACGCATCACGCAACACGCAACACGCATCACGCATCACGCAACACGCAACACGCAACCATGGTTTCGAAGCTCTTCTGGAAAGAGCCAAACGGCAGGAGCGCGTACGTGCTCAGCTGGGTGAGCACAATCGTCACCGCCGTCTTTGCCATCGCCGGAATCGTGCTCTATATCGCCACGGGCTCCGTCATGTGCCTTGTCTTCGGGCTGGAAAACTGCGTCGACCTGATGAGCTCCGTGGTGGTCCTGTGGCGGTTCTGGGCCTCCGGCTCGCTGACCAAGGAGAGGGAGAAGGCCCTCAAGCGCCGCGAGCTGCGGGCCAGCATGGCGATCTCTTTCATCCTGATGATCCTGGGCTTTGGCGTCATTGCCACCTCCAGCTACGACGTTGCCATGGGGCCCGAGACGAAGCACGAGATGGACTTTGTCTTGGGCATGTCGGCCTTCAGCCTCCTGGTCTGCGGAAGCCTCGCCCTGGTCAAGTTTCGGTACGCGAGCGTCCTAGAGTCGGAGTCCCTCTACAAGGACGGCGTCTGCTCCCTCATCGGGACGATCCTGGCGGTGGCCCTCCTGAGCAACACGCTGATCATCCGCACCCACCCGCAGATCTGGTGGCTCGATCCCTGCGTGGCGATGATCTGCGGCTTTGCGGCCCTCTTCATCGGGGTCCACTCCGTCTTTGTCGCCTGGAAGCACCGGCGGGTCCCCATCTGCCACCTCTCCTGGTGGCTCATGTCCCGCGGGGCCCACGAGCCCAAGCAGGGCGACGGCGACGGCATCGAAAAATCCGATCCGGACGGAGGAGGCGGCGACGGCGATCCATCGGCTCCGACGAGCCTTTCCGACGGGGTTGTGTAAGACGAGACGTAGCGAAACGAAAGGAAAGGAAACAAAACGAAACGAAAGGAAAGGAAACGAAAGGAAACGTTGCGTAGCGAGGCATGGCGAAAGGCGACCGCCGGAAACGGGTCGCGGACCACGCGGGGGGTTGAATTCTATGGATGGGACCATCGGTCGTGTTTTGTAGCTGGCGCAAGACATGGAGGACCGTGGAGCGTACGTACCGAAAGGTATCGTACTGTAGATGGCTTGTGATTGTTGGGCTCTACCGTGCGTGGCCGCACGCGGGGGGAAAGCACGATGTTTTGAAAACGAGAGACAGCAAGCGCTGAACTCGAAAGGTAGCGAGAGGCGGCGCGCGACAGCGATGGCTAGGACGCAGAACCGGGGGCGTTCCGATCCTGGATCTCGGTGGATTCCATCCTTGCGGGATATCCCGCAAGACTCCAACAGGATCGCCGTTCCCGGACCCGCAGGAGCGTTTCGTGCGCCCGTGGCCATACGACTGTAAGCGGTAACGTTAGAAACCTACAAATATAGTGTTGAAGACTCGGTGGGTCGTCCACGATGCATTTTTAGTTTAGTTCGGCGATCCCCAATCGTCTTGGTGGTAGTATTCGGACAGCAATCGATAGATGTAGCTCGGCTGAAAACTTCCGACGTTGGTCACGTACAGATTGATGCGCTCGGGCCGTATATAGTCGTAGAGGGGGTTGACAAAGTCCACCTCCTGGTCCTGCTGCGAGGTGTAATCGACGACCGAACCGGGGCTCAGCAGGTCGTTCAGCGTGTCCTGGCCCTCGTGCGGGAACAAGGGCGTCAGCTTGAACATTCCCGTCAGGCAGACCACCGGAACCGCGTTCTCCGCCGCCGCCGAGACGACCAGGTTGGACCCGCTGGGGGCCACCAGCCCCCCGTTGGCCAGGACGGCGTGGGCCGGCAGGAGGACCTTGTTGGCCCGGGCCATCATCGCGAAGATCGCGGCGTCGGGAATGACGCACACGTCGATCGAGTTGCCCGCCTCGGTGGGCTCCGCCAGGGCACGGGCCATGGCGTGCCCCTCGTAGTGCGGGGCGCACTCGCAGACGATCACGGTGAACCGGAGTTTCTTGTCCGCGGCGGCTCTCAGAAACTCGATCACGGTGTCGCTTTTTCCGTACGTCAGGATGATTTCTCCGGAATGTATGTGGTTGGTGGCTTGCCCGTTGATGGTTTTGTGCAGGTCCTCGAGGTCCGACGTGATTTCTTGGATAACCTCCATGATGGATTGTTTCAGGTCCGGACGGGGCTGCGCAAAGAAGATGGGAGGCAGATTCGACAGGGGATCTTGGGCATCGAGAGACTGTTGCTCGAGGATATCGCCTACCGATCCCACCGATTCGGAACGCATGTGGCGCCGTTCTTGCTGCGACTGGTTCTCTTGGGAAGAACTGTGGAGGGACATGCTGTTCCCGCGGGTGTGGGTTTTTACGTGCTGGGGCAACGCCCACAGCATGCTTTCCAGAGAGGATCGATTTTCGACTCTCGTCGGTCCCCCGCTCAAAACTTCTTCCCTGACCGCCGCGAGAATCCTCCGAACGACGTTTCCGATTGCTGGCTCCCGAAAACCACCGGCCGCATCCATGTCTCGTCCCAGTCCACGCAGCAACACCAAGAGTTCGGCCGGAGATTTCCACCTGGTGCTGCCGATCATGGTCTTGAGGACCTCTACCGTGCGGATGGTGATCGACAAACGATCGCTCTGCGATGGATGCTTCGAAAGCCTACCAGCCATCCGAAGTTCCGTCTCGAACGAGTCCAAAAGATCTAGTTGCTTTGGGTGCTTGTTCGCCAGCCATTCTCGAACACTCGAAGGATCGCTCATGTTCGTCGTTGCGGAAGGCACGGGCATCGTTTTGTTTTAGTGCCGTTAACAAAATCTCTTCCCTTTTCTTTTACGTTCGCTCCGCGTTTGATTCTGGGGATTCGATGGCGATTGTCAATAGTGCTCGTTGCGAGAAGGTTCTATTTGTAGATTTCAGGACTCGAACGACGTGAAGATACGACTACTTTTGACGATAGCGTTGCGTTGTTGGTTCCACTATCTCATTGATCATTTTTTGTTGTCCCCCAGATTACGCTTGAGGAAATACGTACGGTGGCGACGAGATACAGTAGTTGTTGAATTGAATTGAACGATTGAACGATGGATGCAGGTAGGGTTTGTTTGGGTCAGATTGCGCATTGCGCGCGACAGGTAACTGTATTCCTAAAAAAATACTTTTCCTACGTCCACAACATATGGTACGGTACTACGATAAGTACGATGGAAGATTCCAACATAGCAAATTACTAGTGAAAAGCATTTACGCTAACACTTGTACTACATTCTCGTGCTTACAAGAACTCTTGCAGAATACCTTTCTCATGTGCACCGAGTTGTAAATTGTAAAATAAAACAAAGATCTATCCTATTATGTTGCATGCTACACAAATGAGGCTTCGTCTATGCGACATTCACGGTGTTCGATTTCGCAAGCTGATTGAATGCTCCCAAGGCAGATGTTTCGACTTGAGGGATGTTGCTGTTTTCTTCCAGGCAATGCATCAGAATAGAAATTCCGTCTAGGGCCAAGATCTTCGACCTTGCGTTGTCGTCTTCCGATGCCAATACCCACAGCAAGTCACATGCTTCTACGACAAAACTCGTGTGGTTCACGTTTTCTTTCAAAGCATTTATTACTGTTGAAATGGCAACAGATCCATCACGAGCAAAGCTAGGACAAGCTATCGTAGTGTTCTTCAGCGTCAAACAGCCGGCTTCCAACAATGAAATCGAGCTTCCGTTGTTGCACATGGCCTCGGCAACGATGTTGACACCCTGTGCCTTGCTGATAGCTTCGGCTAGCGATTCCTCCGAACTCAAGTGCGACAATAAACCACACGCATTTTCGAGGGTCGGAGTCTTCGTTGGGTGCATCACCATCGCACATGCTACCATATCGATCACTTCTTTCCCTACAAACAACTTTTGATCATTGAAGGTATCGACGAAAACCCAAAGAGCTCCACATGCTAGCTCGAGAAGATCGCCCGATTCGAAATGGGACTGCATCGCCGAGGTAATGGAGGGAACAATTTTTGAGTTGAAGACGAGCTGTTTCTCCTCTGTCTTCGACAATAAATTCCAAATGATACAGCAGGCGCTACTTTGAATTGATAATGAACTTCGATGGGATTCCATGGCACTGATAATGAGGCTTAAGGTCTTGGCGTTCTTGAGAAGTGGTTCTGAATCATGAATTTGGCATGATAAATTACGCAACGCTAAGCATGCGGCATCTTGGGCCTTCTCTCCGTTGGTTAGTTCCATACACTGGATCAAAATATCTACTATTCCGTTATTGATCATCAGTTCGCTTTGCGTGTTCGAGTCCCCCGTGGCAAGAGTAGCGACTAAAGTAGAGCACGTCGCAATGATTTCAGGCGTTTTGTGCTTCCTAATCGATTCGAGGACCAGAACCAGAATTTCCTCTGTGCAAATTGTCTCTTTGCTTGACTGAGACTGGGTGGCAATACAAGCAAGAGCACGAAATACTTGAACAACGTACTCGTGTTCGCTTTTGAACATTTTGAGTCCGTGGACGAGCATCTGCACGGCATCGGCTTTTGAAACCATCGAGGATGAGCCTCGAATATCTGGGGGAAGAGCAAAGTTTTCTATTGCAGAGGCAGCTTCGTAGCTTATCCCAAAGTGATTGCTGTGGTAACGCAAGCCGTCAAGGACTAGTTCAACTGCCCCGATATTTAGCAGCTCTTTTCGTTTTTTATCTAGGTATGCTAGATTTCCAATGGTTCCGATACTTGCTTCGACCACGCTGATACCAGCGGGACTTGTCATGTAGTGCTGGCATACGGAAAGGATTGCTTCATGCAACGAAGATTCTTCCAGCTCTTGCAATAAATCTTTTCTTGCAGTCAAACACCAACACAACTGGCAGGCCCAATCCATCGCAACTAAATCTTGTTGCAACTCCTCCATCGCGTAGATCAGAACATCAACGGCTGCCATTCCATTCTCGAGTTTACCACTTGCAAGGCTTCTTTTGTTATTTTCTACATGGATTGAAAGCAAGCACTGGTGGTGTAGGGCCTGTAAGCCAGCCTTGCGAATGGATCGAGAGTTTCCGTGATTACTCATGGCTTTCAAAACCATCGTCATTGCCCCAGAGAGACTACCATCCGAATTGGTTCCTGCGGCACTTTCATCGGGCAGGCTACCAGCAAGAGAAGCGAAAATGAGACAGCCTTTCAGTTGGATACCCGGTTCGGTAGCATGGTTTTGCATTGCAAACAGGATGGAGTCGCAAACCGACTCATTTTTGGAGAGTAGATTGCTGTCGTTGCTCCCACCACTACCGGAGCTCTTCCCATGTTCGTGATCGCCATCTCTACCACCTATAAGAGTAGTTGTAGCAGATATAAGCAAGAGGAGCTGCATTGCAGCTTCCTGTACTTCAACGATTTGCATATCTGCCCAAATGGCTTTGGTTGCAGCCTCAATCACGTTATGTTCCAAAATGAATTCACGCGTGTGTCTATCACCAGCGCGGCTCATGTTCTGAATCATGTCGAAGAGCTTACACAAGGCGTCTTCCCTAACATCTGGATTGCATTCTTCTAAATTAAGACAATGCAAAATGCCTTGTATGTCCGTAATATCCTGTTTCGTAATTGGTGTAAACAAACTGTTTTGCCTGGCGTTGGTACCGTTATGTATGCGGCCCGATGATGACGAAGAAGATGACACCGATGTGATCGGAGGGTGAGGTATGGGATTTGTATCATTCTTCAGAAGCTGTTGAAAATGCTGTTGCTGCTTCTGTCGCAATATATTTTGATTGTGGTCATAGTCGTCGTTGTAGTCGTTGTAGTCGTAGTCGTCCATTATGAAGGATGGAAAACCATCGTTATCATCCTCGATAGCAGTTTTGTCATGAGGTTTGGGCGGGTATTCACTCCGTACTGCATGCGCTGAATTCTCAGTATTTCTGTTATTTGCAGTGCTCCCCGTTGCAAAATCTATCGATTGTTGCATTCCCGTTTGACGACTCCGTCTACTGTGATTCGCATTCTCGTCTGGTTGAAAATCGATCCCTACTTCGCTTCCAATCTTTTTTGTCTTCGTGTTGGAGACAGATTTCCTGTCGAAAAAATATGTATCTTCGTTGCTCGACACCGATCTCATCAGCGCATCACACTCCAAAACTGGTGTTATATTCGTAGATGGATTTAATTGCTGATGCATCGCGCCACTTCCCATTTCTTGTCCTTCTCCATAATCCCATGGGTACAGATTACGCTCTGAATCACCACGCATAGAATGCGACTTCCGATGGCGACTGTGTTGGCTGCTGTCACTTCTGTGACTGCTCTCATCGCTGTGACTACCACGACGACGCAACGCTGTATGAAACTGACCAATTCCAATATTGTTCATATTGTTGTCAATGCTTTTGCTTCCATTATTACCAGTTCCCTTCTGTTTACTACGACCGGATTTTTCCGGTCTAGGTCGGCGTTGGTGAGTAGGTCTCGCAGGAATGCGTTGCTCTTCTTCTTCCTCCTCCTCGGAATAATTAGTATTGAAAGCAAAATTGTCGTCTCTGCTGGAATACGGATGAAACAGATGAACATCCATCGTGATTGCACTAACAATGGAGTTATCGTCTCCGCAATGATTGCTGCTGTTGCTACCATGTCGAGATGGTTTACGACGAACCACTTCCAGTGTTTCTGGAACACCGATATTCGTTCTAGAACTAGAACGACGCGAGGAACTCCTGCGTGATGATGGCGACATTGCCTCGGACTCCACACGAGTTGTAGATTTTCTCCGCGTCTTCTCACCCGGACGGTGTCCATCTTGTTGTTGTTGTTGTTGCTGCTGCTGTTGTGGTTGTGGTTGTGGTTGGCATTGTTGCGTTCCAATGTGTGGTTCACGATTCGTATTTCTACCGCTACCCACACGGATATTGTTATTTGTGGTGTCTTCCATGTATCGATGTTCTTGTTCCCGTTCCTGTGGTCTCGGCCTTCGCGATTTCTTTCTTTTCGGAGTTGCAAGTTTCACCGTGGCTGTTATTGGTGGGGCGTCGGAGTTTTGAAACTCACCGCCGCCGCCACTTCTGTTGTCACTATTGTTGTTGAGAGGCGCTTGCCGGACCGGCGACTGGCAAACTTCTTCAATCGCCACCGAAGCTTGTCCCGCCGGGGTCAAACAAGGCGGAAATGGATCACACGCCAAACACCGTCCGTTCGACACTTTTCCCTCCACCGTGATCGGGATCGATTTTTTGCCCAGCAGCCCTCCCTTTTTGTGTGTAGTTATGCCGCACGAAGGGCACTGACGTTTGGCATTCTTGTTCTTCGTCATTTTCTCTGATTCAAAGTTTTTTTCACTATTCTTTTCGCATCATGGTTTACTAAATGCTAGCCAACCCAAAGATGACGGCAAACTTTATCGATTGCTTCGACGATCGCTATAGATGAATTCGTTCGGTTGATGGGTTGTACCCTGTTGCAATTTTCGTTATTTTGATCGATGCTTCTGTTACTTCTTGTCAGCAAATGGTTCGTATTGTTTAGAGAAACAGAGACGGCTTCACAAACATGAGATGTGTGTTCAATGAATTTTCAGTACGTTGCGTACGAGGTCAAGTTCCTACGGTACCGTGTGTCACCTTTCGTCTTGTTTTGCTCACCCTTTACGTGTACCAGTACTGTGGGTTGGGAAACGATTCGATCTCCAATCCTTGAGTCTTGGTTTGCCTCACATTGCATTTCTTTTGGATTACGGCATATTTCTGCATTTGGCATATTGTCATTGCTACTAATATTACCTGAGGCAATAGTGTTTTTGATAGGTAGAAAAAGTTGCATGGGGAATAAGGCCTGATACCTCTTTGAAAGAGAAGACATTATCGAAGTTACGGGCTGCTTGAGCAATTGTACTCCCCTAAAAACGAATCGAGAAGTACCGTAGGCGTGGCCTATCGGTGAGGAAACACGTTCCCCGAGGACTTGCGCATCATCAAGCATAGATAGATGAAAGTCTTGATTTTAGTCGAATGAGTCGCCTATTGGTTTTTCGTTATAACCGTTATCCGAACCGGCCAACGACATTCACGGGTATATTTAAAACATGCCTGGATTTTTAGTGTGTTTTGAACTGTTTCTTGATACGGTGATGGCAGAAGAAAGAAAGTTCGTTAGTACGCCCACTTTTCGACTACTCACCGTCCTGTCCCCCCCCGAAAGTGGCGTATTGCTTGCTCAGTAGTCTGGGAGACACACCATATCTATACGAGTCCGGCTTGATCTCCAGCAACCGCTCGGACCCGGCAACACAAAAACATTGGCCGACCGGAAGAGAACAACAATGAGTACCAGAACCCATGAAAGCACCGATGACGCCCGCAACGACGACGTCCCCGTGACAAGCAGACTTGCGGAGTTGGAAGTTCGCCGGAAGATGCTCGTGTCGGCCATGTCGAAATTTCGCGACACTAGGAACTCGGAGCTTTTTCGGGTGCTCAGGAGCAACGATTCCGAAGATTCGCGTGGGCCGTCGTCCGGAAGCAATATCAGGGACGATCCTGGTGGAAACGATGTCGGATCCGATGGCTTTCCCTCGGATGCAGCATTTACGACAACAAGAAATTTCAACGAAAAATCCAAAGAAAAAGTTCACTTCGCTAAGAAGAAAACCCAATTGTTGTCTTCGTTGTATCGACGGCAATCATTATCCAAAGCAGACCATACCACGGCTGAAGAAGAAACGCAATGTTTCCTCTCCGTAGTGGAAGGCGATGGTGAATGCGATAAACGGAAATCTATTCCGTCTGCACGACCAGTGCTGATGGCTTTGTCTTCTAGGACTGATCAACGGCAAAATTACCAAACATGCGCTGCTGCTTCTATCGAAAAAACTGAAAAGTATTCAAAATCGAAAACCCAAACAATCGATAACATAGTTCCAGATATCCAAGAAAACAGAAATATGGGTCTCGTTCAAGTGGAGGAACGTCGACATGAACCGGTCAAACAAAACTATGATTTCGAAAATACTATCCCAGTAGGAGAAAGCAGTGAAGGGGATACTAGCATTTCAGAAAGAAAAATGAATCTTTCACCACAGAACATGGGTCTTGATGAAAACGTAGGTCCAGATCTAGGCATAGTTTTGGACAAGGATTTTGATACAGCATTAAACAATCGTGACAGGAAAGAATCTAGCGAAATCATTAATTACAACAGTTTGGATTTCGAGGCATTGATGCAGGACAGTATAACTCATGCAAGTTCAGACCAAACAGCAACCGAGGAAAGTATCCAGCCTGATTCGATCTCTGATGACGGATGCGAATCAAATTTCGACATTGAATTGGAAAAGAAACTTGACTTGATGATTTTAGAAAATCCATTGTGGCGGAAGGCGATGCAAGACACGTATACGAAAGAAGATATATCTGCCACACAAAAAGTAGGAGAGAGCAAAACTTCTACACCAACAGATCTAATAGAGGGTTCAGGTGGCTCATCCAAGATTTTTGACGAGAGCAACGTTGTTAATGACAAGCAGAAGAAAGAAATGAAAAAAGAGCCCTATACGGCCGTCCAATACCTACAATCAAACCAATGGTCGTGTGTCCGTCCCGATGCTGGAGATCTGGAGACACCACTAGCGTCGAATGTCAGGAAACCTGATCAGGATGGAGTTGGTGTGACAAAAGGCTTCAGTAAATATCCTTCAAGATCGCAACCTACATCCTTGCCCACATTACATTCCAAAGATGATGGTAATGGCAATGCTACCAATGTTGACGAGGAGTATTCCGGAAATAACTCTGCAAATCCATTAGATCTGCCACGGTTCCCTGCGATTTCAACTGATTTTACCGTCGATTCGATTGCATTAACGTCAACTGTACAGACAAATGTGGAAAGTCTAGGCGACGAAAGTTTAGTGACAAGGAATATGATCAATGCCGGTACAGATCCTCTTAGTAGAGATAGCGAGGACACCGGCCGGGTCGTTGATGAGAACAGCACTTTCAGTACAAAAGCCATTCAAGGTTTTTGTGCGGATGACATCAAGAAGTTTTTCGCAAAACCATCGATTCTCTTTCAATGCACAGGTCCCGTTGCGATTCACAGTGTTTCTTCGCCCAGCCATGGTATCTTTGGTGACACGGGGTCGGAAACAGAGAAGAGGTAGCAAATATTTAATCTAGAGGACACGGTAAAATTCGGAACAAGAATAAAATACTCATCTATTCATTATTTTCATGGTGACCATGCTGTGGCCATTCCAAATTTAAGAGAATCCAATTCCACCCAAGACTTGGATATTTAGAAATTATTGCAATTGGTCATTCCAAGATTAAAGAGAATCCAATCCCTGCCGAGCCTTGGTGGTAGAATATTTAGTCATCAGCATTAGTGATGGTCATTCTAAAATTAAAGAGAACTCATTCCACATCAATTTCCTCACAAGACTTGAATGAAGAGTCATTATCATTCCCAAGACTTGATAAATTGAATCACTATACAACCATCAAAACAGAAGTGGGGAACAAATATTGGATAGGAAAGCTTCAGGGTCAGGGGGAAATAAAGTGACTTCAGTTGGAGAAGCTTCTTKGGGAAGAGAGGAAAAACTATCTGACTTCTTCTTGTCTCTTTGTTAACCATGTTTGTTAATGTAACAAGGTCTGCTTTTGGGATACAGTGTGACAATATAGATCTGAACTATTGCTTTGGTCCCACAGAGTACTACTAGCAATGTATGAGTACAAAAATAATTCAATCAAGGAGGATCTTTTTATCACTGTGGTGGAACAGGAAAGACCTGAATGAAGATCTGGATTAGAGATCCAATGCTGGGGATGCACGAGATTACGTGAGACCTGACCTGTGATTGATTCTGTGGAATTCCCATCTTCAGGATCCCATCTACCTTCTTCTGCCACGGCTTGACGCCCGTGGGAGTGAGCCAATAGCCTAGGAAATCAGACTCCTTCACTGCCCACTCACACTTGAGTGGATTGCATTTCATACCATTGGATGCTAACCGTTSGAGGACTGGGTCAACTAAAGACAGGTGTTTGCCAAATGGTCCTCGGGACCAAATCCCCATATCATCAATATAGACTTCAACATCCAGACCAGATAGGATCTTTGTGATGAAGGCTTGGGCATAGTCTGGAGATGACTTGAGTCCCATTGGTAGCCGTAAGCATCGGTAATTGCCATGGGTGGTAGTGAGAGTGCATATTTTCTGGCTTTCTTCATCCAGTTCAAAGCAATAGAACATCATGGAGAGATCAATCTTGGTGAAATGATCATATCTTGTTCTGCAATTCATGATGTCTTGGATTTTGKGGAGATTGAACTGAGGTCTCTTGATCCTCTTGTTTAATTCTCTSAGATCAACGAGCCATCTAACTCGGCCGTCCTTTTTTGGAATGATAAAGGCTGGAAAGCCCCATTCTGAGTTGCCAGTGGGGGCTATCACYCCTTCATCAACAAGATGCTGGCATTCCCTTTTGAAAACATCCTCGTGTCTAGTATAGGGAACTGGGTATGGTCTTATATAAACTGGTTCTGCATCATCCTCGAGATCAATGTGGATCTTTTCATGTGGATATCGACCTAGCTTGCCATCAAACAATTCTGTGTGTTTGGCTAGCATCTTTGTGAATGCTAGTCTTTCTGATCTGTTCATGTGCTCTTGCTGGTCTGCAACCTGCTCTGGAGTCACTTTCTGGTACTGCGTGTCCAGGATTTGATTAGGCTTTGTACTTTCAGTCGTAGCCTTGGCAGTATCTACTGCACTGGCAGCATCTGCTGCTAAATAACTGTCCGAACCGATTGCACGTCAGCTTGGGAGTAGATGAAACTCTACGAATCCTCCATCCAAGAGTTCATCATCCTCTGCCAGCCACATAGCTTCTGCTACTTGCTGGKGATCATTGAAATGATCTGTTGGTTTCATATCGATGGTTGAGCCTAACCATCTGATAGTGCGCGTAGAATAAAAGAGATCTATTCCTGCCATCAGTAGAAAGTCCCTTCCTAGAATCATGTCATATTTGCAGGGGGCTGAAAAGAGCCTTGCATTGATTCCTCTGGTATATTTGCCGTTGCCAAACTCTGGGAGTCTAATGTTGGATATGAAGACATATCTAGAAGTGTCAAAACTCCCCTGAGCTGTGGTTGTAACTGAGCTGAATCGGTCTTGAAAGGGGACTGTTCCTGGTGGAAGGCAACGCTCATGAATGAGACACATTGTACTCCCACTGTCTAATAGAACCTTGAATGTATTCATTGTCAGTAAGTCTTGGATGGCTTTACATACTAGGATGACCACTGGTAGTACATCTTGCATGTCCGGTGGTGTTTTCAGAGCTCTCAAGGTGACTGCTGTTGGATTCTTVAGAGCTTCATCATTATCAAGGCCATAAAGGTCAAGACTATCTGCTGGTGATTGAGTGAATGGTGGTGGAGGCAATTGCGATGCAAGGTAAGCCTCGTTTGTATGTCACMACTGTTGATTTGAGCCTTGTCCTTGTCCTTGTCCTTGGAATCGGACTGTCGATCCCGGATTGCTGTGGGACTGTAATGACACATGGCTTGGAGGACCACCACTAGAGTTAGAGCCGTGATAAGTCTGACTTTGGACTGACTGTGGTTGGAAATTACTCATGTTCCMGTGCTCATCCATGTCACAGGAATAAGTTCCCGGTGTGAACCTCTTATTGTTGTTGTTTCCATTGGAATTGCTCTGGTTTCTCCGGTTTCCGCMGTAACTTCCTTGGTTGCTTTGATTTCCTCCATCGTTGTTTTGATTGTAACCGTTCTTATTGAACTTGCATTCCCCCCATAGGTGTTGTCCATTATGTATCTTGCAAGGCGTTGCATTGGTCCTAATTCTTCTCTCTTCCGGGGTCTCATTGTGTCTGTTATTCCTATTATTGTTGCTGTTGCGTTTCCTCTGTTTCCCATTCCTTCCTCCTTGTCCTGTATTGTTATCGTCCGCTGATCTTTTCCTCGATCTTTGCTGCTGTTCTTCATCTGCAATTCCTTTTTGCTCT